CTATCTATCTATCTATCTATCTATCTATCTATCTATCTATCTATCTATCTATCTATCTATCTATCTATCTATCTATCTATCTATCTATCTATGTCAGTCATGGGGCCTGAAATCTTGGCCTGGGCACTGTCCCTGAGCTTTTTAGCTCAGGCAAGTGCTCTACCACTTGAGCCATACCTCCACTTCTGGCTTTTTCTGCTTATGTGGTGTTGAGGAATCAAACCCAGGGCCTCATGCATGCAAGGCAAGCATTCTACCACTGAAGCACCTTCCCAGCCCATATATATATTTTTTAAAAAGTTCACCAGGCTCCGGTAGCTCACTCCAGTAATCCTAAACTCAGGAGACTGAGATCTGAGGATTGTAGTTTGAAGCCAGCCTGGGAAAAGTTTGTGAGACTCTTCTCTCCAATGAACTACCAGAAAACTGGAAGTGGTAATGTGGTTCAAGTGGTAGAGTGCTAGCCTTGAGCTGAAGAGCTGAGGGACAGCGCCCAGGCCCAGAGTTCAAGCCCTACAACTGATTCCCCACCCCCAAAACAAAGCAAAATAAAACAGAGTAGTAGTGGTTTATGCCTGTAATCCTGGCTACTCAGGAAGTTGAGATATGAGGATCTTGGTTCAAAGCCAGTCCAGGCAGGAAAGTTCCCGAGACTCTTACCTCCAATTAACTGCCAAAAGCTGGAGGTGAAGCTGTAACTCAAGTGGCAAGAGTGCTAGCCTTGAGCACAAAAGTGCAGGGATGGATAGCACCTTGGGCCAGAGTTCAAGCCCTAGGAGTGACACCCCGCCCCCCCCAAAAAACAACAACAGAACTATTTGAAATATAGGTCTCTTCTAAACATTTCTTCCCAAAAAAGCTTGTCTGTCATCACTGTCTTTTGTATTTGCATGAGGTAAATGCAGATGAATTAATAGGTTAATCTTCCAATCACAAGTTTAACCCAGTGGCACTTATTCCTACACCTCTTTCTCCTACAGCTTGATCCCTAGCTCTACAGAATAACAAAACAGAATAGGGCTTTGGATTGAAGGACAGCCAGGGGGCTGGCTCCTTAAATAGTTTGTCATGTGATGTCATTCATATCTCACTGCCTTTGTGGATATGCATAGGAGTTCCATTCATACTTGCAGTGTATCTGTGACTTCTGATCTTATGGCAGCAGTACCAAGGTATTAAGAGCTAGTTCTGTCCATTTTAATGGAGAGCCACTTTCAAAATGGAGGACTTATAAGTCTCATTAAAGCAATTGGAGGAGTGGGGAAGGTGGCTCAATGGTAGAGTGTTTGTCTTGCATGCATGAGGCCCTGGGTTTGATTCCTCAGCACCACATAAGCAGAAAAGGCTGGAAGTGGTGCTGTGGCTCAAGTGGTAGAGCACTAGCCTTGAGCTGAAGAGCTGAGGGACAATTTCCAGGCCCAGAGTTCAAGCCCCACGACCAACCAAAAAAAAAAAAAAACATCAGCATCTTGGGAATTGCAGTCTAGAAAGCAAACCTCCAAAATGAACTCAGTTATGTCAGAGCTCTTTGCTTTATGGATGCCTTGCTTTGCTTTAACAGCCAGGGTCCTTTAGTGACAGATTTATGTAGTGCTTCTGTGAGCTAGACGCTACGTGGAGAATGTAGCAGAAATGAAGTGTAGGTTCAATAGTTAAAAGTTTGATTAATAAACCACATTACGTGGAGAATGTGGCAGAAATGAAGTGTAGGTTCAATAGTTAAAAGTTTGATTAATAAACCACATTTTCCGCTGCCAGACTCCCCCCCCCTCCCCCCCATGCTTGAACTTATGGTATAGGTGCTGTCCTTGAGCCTTTTCTCAACTTGCTCCACTCCTGTGTTTTTTGTTTGTTTTGGCTGTATGATGGAGATAAGAGTCTTATGGATTTCCTACCTTGGGCTGACTTCAAACCCCTATCCTCAGATTTCAGTCGGCTGAGTGGCTGGGATTACAGACATGAGCCCCCTGTGCCTGGCTTCAATTTTCTATTCAAAAGTTCTTAGAAGCTATGTGCTGATGACTCATGCCTTTAATCCTAGCTTCTCTGGAGGCTGAGATCTGAGGGTGGTGGTTGAAAGCCAGACCAGGCAGGAAAAAGTCCATGTGATTCTTACTTCCAATTAACTGCCAGAAAAATGGAAATGTCCCTGTAGCTTAAAGTGGGAGAACACTAACTAGCCTTGAGTGAAAAGAGCTCCGGGACAGTGCCCAGGCCCCAAGTTCAAGCCCCATGACTAACAAAAAAAGGTTCTTAGAGTAGGGAAGGATTCTAAGTTGTGTTTGCCCAGTGCAATACTCTTCCATGTAGTAGGTGTTCTTAGGAGGCAGATGAGGAAGGATTGCTTGAGCCGAAGACTTTGAAACCAGCCTGGCTAAAAGTTTCTGTCCCCGTCAGTCAGTTGATCTGAGTGGAGCCATCAGATCTTCACATTTTGGTGCATAGTTTTGTGTGACAGTGGTAACTGTCAGAGAACCTTAAAGAACACGATCTTTCTGTAGTGGAACATGTCACTTGAGTATAACCACTGCTTGGGGAAATGTTTAGCTAACTTTACATTACCACGCCACATTCCCTCATATTTTGATATTTACCATTTTTTCTCTATTTTCCTCAGCT